CGGGGCTGGGGGGCGGGGCATTCTGGGAAGGCGGGTCCCACCAGACCTCCGGCGAGCGGGGCGAGCCCGCAGGATTCTCGCTTGAAGAGGCGGGAGGAGAGGAAGGAATGTACGAATGAATGAATGAAAGAGCGAACAAATTCGCCAGCCTAGCAAGGAACGAACGCAGGCACGGAAAGATCTCCTCCTCCTTGGACGTCTTCAGGGTGATGATGGGGCTGGAGGGTGAGGAACGGAGGGCAAAGCCAAGGAAAGTTCCTCATAAGTCACCAAAGATATGAGCCAAACCTCACTCCTGGCCTCTGGGCACACACATTTGGTGCCCTGGAGCTTCAGTGAGTGTATGTGTGGATGGGTGTTTGGGAGCAGCACATAATCAAGTAAGTACTTGAGTCAGTTTCAAAATAGTAGGTCATACTATCAAGAAAGAATAGGGTCCTTAGACCAGAGGTGCTACAAGCAGACCAAAGCCAGTTATAGACGGGTTTTCTGTATGAACAAAAACCCAGGCAGCTGCAGCTGCCCTTCCTGGTGCTAAGGCCTGGGGCTACAGGTCACTGCTTTCTTGAAGATTCTGGCTCTGGGGGAAAGCTGGCGATAAACAAAGATCAACATAGAGCTCCAATCAGGGTGATATTTGGGAGAGATGGGCAAAGGCTTCAATGAACAAGGCTTTCATAACAAGGACTCGGCCATGTAAAGGGGCTGAAGACAAGATGTCTGAGGGAGTTCAGCTGTCTGGCATCTCACCAATACTGGGTCTTAGGTTGCCTGCAAACTAAGGAACAGCAGGTGCAAATGCCCTGCAACAGTAACACTCTTGCCATGTTCTAAGGACACAAAGGGAAATCCAGGTGGGGTACAGGGAGCAAGGAAGGAGAGAGGTGCTGGAGAGGTGAAGCCTGTGAGGAAATTAATTCTCAGACACATGGCCTAAATGTTTTTCATTCTTTTTTGGGGGGAAAAGCGTATATTGGGGTATATTTGAGTACAATAAGCTGCTTATATTATAAACTGTACAAATCAATTATATTCGACGTACATGCACACATGCACACACACACAAACATGAAACCCTCACCACACAATCAAAGCAATAAACAAATTTATTACTCTCAAAAATCTCTCTTTTCTCCTCCTCCATCCCCAGACAACTTTGTGTCTGTTTTCTGTCACTGTAGGGCAGTTTGTATTTTCCGGAGTTTTATACAAATGGAATGAAACAGGTCTTTTGTGTTTGGTCCTTTTCACTCAACAGAATTCTTTGGAGATTGTCTTAGTTTGTTTGTGTCACTATAATGAAATACCTGAGACTGGGTGCTATCGTCTGAATGTGTCCCCTCTAAAATTCAGGTATTGCCAATATATGGTATTAAGAGGTAGGGCCTTTAAGAAATTATTAGGCCATGAGGGCTTCTCCTTCATGACTGGGATGAAGACCCTTATAAAAGAGGCATAATGCATCATTTGGCTAGCTTATCCTTGTTCCATGTGAGGATACAGCATCCCCCCCGAGAGGACACAGCCAGAAGGCCCTCACCAAGCACCACAGTGCATTGATTTTGGATTTCCAGCCTCTGGAATGTGAGAAAATAAATTTTCTGTTCTTTATACATTATCTAATCTTTAGTATTTTGTTGTAGCAGTACAAACACAAGAAGACACTGCATCATTTATAAAGAAGAGACATTTATCTCTTGCAGTTCTGGAGGCCAGGAAGTCTAAGATCAAGGTGCCCAAGATTTGCGGCCTGCTGAGGGCTGCTGTCTACATCCAAGATGGTGCCTTCTCACATGGTGGAAGAGGGCCCAAAGTGTTGGACACTGTCCTCACTGGTGAAAGGAGGCCAAGAATTGGATGCTGTGTCCTCTCATGGTGGAAGGGGGTCAAAAGGGTTTGATGCTGCATCTTCACATGACAGAAGAGATGAACAGAAAGGGCAAGACAGCTCTCTGAAGTCTCTTTTATAACGGCATTGATCCCTTCATGGAGGTGGAGCCCTCATGACTTAATCATCTCCCCAAAGGCCCTGCCTGCTTATATTACCACCTTTGGGTTTAAGGTTCAGCACATGAGTTTCAGAGGGACATGCAAACCATAGCAGAGGTTCATCCATATTGATGTCTTTATCCATCTGGGTTGTTTCCAGTTTGGGGCTACTACAAATAAAGCTACTATGAAAATTCAAGTTCAAGTCCGTATACAGTGTTTTAGTCCGTGATTGTATTGCTACACAGATATACCTGAGACTGGGTAATTTATAAAGAATGGCGGTTTATTTGGCTCACAATTCTGGTGGGTATAAAGTCCAGGAGCAGGAGATTGGCACCTGGGTGCTTCTGGTCCCATGTCCCCACATGGACAACAGAAACAGGAAGGTCAGAGTGTGTGCGAAGAGAGAGAGCCCTGCAGGCAGCCATCTTACTTCAGCATCAACCTGTTCTTGTGGGAACTAACCCCTTTCTGTCAGGGCAAGAAATCCTGCTCTCCTAAGAAGCAGCTTAAATCTCTGAATGCCCTTATGATCCTAACACTGCCCACTAGATCTCACTTTTTAAACATCACTTTTAAACATTATTATGTTGGGGCCCAAATTCTAACAAACATTTTTGGATGACATGTTCAAATCATGGCATATAGACAGATATTTACTTTTAACTTAGGTAAGTGCTGAGAAGTGGCTAGCTACAAGTATGTTTAACTTAAAAAAGAAAAACTACTAAACTATTTTCCCAAGTGATTGTTCAAGTTGTTCTGCAATCTTATCAACATTTAATATGATAAATCTTTCATTTTAGCCATTCCAATAGGTGTATAGTGCAACCTCATCATGGTTTTAGACATATTTTCTTTTCTTTTCCTTTTTTTTTGGAGAGGTTTTCGCTATAGGGCATGTGCGCTCACCA